GGGGGGGGGGGGGGGGAGAATCACCATTCAAAATAGAGAAGAGCCAATTTTCACCCTTTAGCGATTTCCGTCTGCAGAAAAGGTGAACAGAAAAGAACTATTGGAAAGACTTGGGAAATGCCCATTTTTGTCAAAGTTTCAGAGACAGGCAGGGAGAGGGCCCATCAGGACCTCTGGAAGCTGCAGCCTGCACTGGAGGGACGCCTCTGGTGGTTAAATTTTTTTTTTTTAATTTTTAGTTTGTATCTTTGAAGTAATATGCACTTACTGCAAGAGAATTTAAAAAGTAAAGGGAAGTAAAAAGAGACTAATAATCATCCATCATTGTCCCATAGAAAGACCTTTAACTGCGGCATCCTCTGCACCCATATGAACATCGCCCTAAGTCATGAAAACTGTGTTTGGCTGCTCTGTCCCAGAGCTGCACACAAACCACCAGCCCCCTCGGGGGCATCTGCGTGGTTTCGAAGTTTGGCTCTTACAAATTCTCCCAAAGAACCTGTTTCTACATGAATCTTCAAGGCGGCAACTGTGCTTATTTTTTAGGATAGATTCTTAGAAATACGTCCCTAAGAAACCAAATTCCTAGGAAAATGATAAGAGACTTACTGCACTATCATTGAAAAACAAAGGAAAGGAGAGGAGGCCCTGAGGGGCCCTGGGAGGTCTGGGGGTGCAGGCGGAAGGGGTACCTTGACCTCGCGCCTCCGGCTGTCCTCATCTTCCTCGTGCTCCACCACGCCTTGGCTCAGGTTGGTGTAGTTGGCCAGCTTGTTGAGGAGTGAGGACACCATGGGGTTGCTGTCCATTTCCTCCTGTTTGGGACCAACATATGGAAAAGTAACCCAGACACTAAACTGAAGCACTCCCAAACAGACCCGGTCAACTGCCCAGCAGAGCTCCTGCAGTGTGGACACTCCAGAGAACCTGTTTCGAGGGCCACCTGGAGCCCAGCTCTGACCCTAGCCCTGAAGCCCACAAATCTACAATGGACCAGCCAGCCCGTCACAGTAGGTCTGAAGTGAGGGGTCAGGGGCTAGAGGTCAGGTTCCAGGACATGCTGAACAGGGCCACCCACCCAGCGAAGGGGAACAGGGTTCCCAAAATGGCCCAGGATTCAACCTCTCCAAGCCCCGTCACAGGGAAGGAACATGGTGTAAGGGTTGCAGACAGGGACAGCCACCAGCTCCCTCCTCACACGGTGTCCAGTCAGGTAGCCCAGCCTCTCAGTCCACTCTTAGACTAGAGTCTCAAGACCACAACCTCTTCACTTGTCCAAATTATAGCTACTATACTGCGCCATGCTTTTTGCAGGAGAAAGTGTAACTTACCTCAAAGAGCGCCATGTTCTTTCCTTCAAAGAAACTCTCTCTCTCCATGTCGCCATTGTTAATGATGGGGCTGTTCTCTCTTGACTGTCCATCTCCTGTTGGGAAACAGCCTGGGTCAGTTTTAGGAGCTAAAAGGAGGTGGAGGCAACAGGGAACCAGGGAACAGCAGGCCAGGGGAGGGGATGGGGAACCCACAGCTGAGCCAAGCGCAGGGCACTGTGGACAGAGTGGGCACTGATGAGGGCATGGGACTCCGAGAGCCACATGTGGCCAGTCCTCCTTCGCTGGGAACACAGATATGCAGGTGGCCCGCCCAACACCACACTCTGCCCAAGTCTTCGAACCAGCGAGGCCCAAGAGGGTCCCAGCCCCCTGCTCTGGCTGCCGAGCAGTGAGAAGCCAGGACAGAACAGTGACTGCTGCACCTAGAATGCTCCCAGGCCAGGTGTCCTGTGTCTTCCTCCTCAGCACAGGTCCTAAGGGACCCAGGACAGGATCAGGCTATCTATCATCTACCATGGAGGTGGGACAGGCCAGAGCCTGGGTGACCCTCCACCAATACAACATGATAAGCCATGGAGACATTCAGCAGCCACAGAATGTCCTCAGCAAACAAAGAGGGGAGAAAGGGTCCCATCCCTGTCCACCCAAAACCCAGGCGGGAAAGGTAGTCCTAGAGAATTGGACCCGTGTGTTCTCCCCTCCCCCATTGGTGTCCACGTGGGGAAGAAACACCACCCTGAGCAGCCAGGCTAGATATGGGCACAGGTGGGGCTTCTGCATGTCCTGCCAACCAAGGCAAGCAGGACCCCCTGACCCAGGCTGCACTTCCTCAGCTGCCAAGTTGAGCACTGCTCCCAGATATTCAGTGAAACATGAACTGGATGCCTCAGGGGCTCAGACACGGTTATAGGACCCCCTGCAGAATGGCTTTCCGTCGCATTACCCATACAAGTCTAACAATGAGGGGACAGTGCATGTGCCCAGCAGGAGGTGTGCCTCGGGAGCTTAAGGCCACAGGCACTGGGACAGAATGCCTCGATCCAGTCTGCCAAGAGGACAAAGCAGTCAGCAACCTGGGAACACAGGCTGGCGGGAAAGTGTCCTGGCGCAAGATAAGCCCAGAGCATCTGTAGAGGGAGCAGTGCTGACACGGAGGTGCCTCCTTACCCCCGCACAGGGGTAGCCTCCTTGCCTTGAAGCCAAAAACACAACTCAGCAGCAGGAAACACTGCTTGTTGCTTCAGAAGAAAAAGAGAAAAGAGCTAGGACACAGAAAACCTCACCTACAGTGAGGGGCAAACAGGCTGAATCACAACACTGAAGAAGCCAAGGTCATGGCCACATCGCCTGTGCCCTGCCCATGGGTGCAGTGCCACCCTGGATCCCCCCACCTCCCACCAAGGCCGGAACCCCCCCACCAAGAGCCTGGAAACAGCAGAGCTCCCAGGTTCATGGCCAGCCAGCAAGGGAGGGACAGCAACAGCCCTTCACCTACTTCCCCAAGGACAACAGGCGGCTTGAGAAGAACCCAACACACGAAACCTGTCAACCTCAGAGGAAAGAGTCCAGAGCAAAGCAGTGACATTCTGGCCTCACTCCACTGTGCACCCCAGGCAAGAGGACGAGCGGTGGAAGGCAGACGCCTGTCCTGGGGTGCAGCAGCCAGAAAGGGAGGGGACCCACAGCAGGCACAGGCTTCTGGCAGGCGCCACATCTGCATCCCTCCCTACAATTAACCAGATACTTTCAGACCAAACATATAGCTCTTTTTATAAGGATAAACCTGCTCAACAACCAAATGGCCCATTAGTGAGAATTTGGTTTTAAATATGGTTCACTAGGTTATATGACTGTGCGCTTATTTCAAAACATATGGGGCTAAATTTGCCATGAGTGATGCCCATGGTGTGTTACATGAAAAGTGGGTAACACAGCATCATGTACAATAGGATTGCAGCCTCTGAAAGGGCAGCTTGAAGTCAAGTGGGGCTCACTGCGGGGGCTGGGATACAGACAATAACTTAGTGTTGTTTTGACTTTTTAAAGCTCCCTATTGGGGACGGGAGTGCTCAGGTAAAAATAACTCCAAGTACAGCCTTCTGTTCAGAAACTTCAAGTCCCAATCCCGACCTTTCAGGTCCTACAGGCCCTATGCTTCACCCAAACTCCTGGGGACAAATATCTGAAATGTAACTCCACCGACCACTAGTCTGTAACTTCTAGTAACATGAAAATGCTCACGTAGACAAGGGCCACATGGAGACAGCTGGTTAGTTTGGTTAGTTGTTTTGACAGCATTCCGAATGCTGATGGGTCACAGTGGCCTCACCTGCAGTCCCCCAGCTGTTTGGAGCAGATCCCGCCATGGGTGTAACAGACCCAAACATAAGATATGGTCTGCAGATAGTCATCTCAGACCCCCGCCTCCATGGCTATTCTGTCAGGACAGCCTGACCCAGGTCCCCAGGTCACTGCAGCCAGGTCAAAGAGGAGCCCACAGCCTGAATTCAAAGTGTGAATCCGCTCCCAGACCCAGAAATATGGGGCCTGAACATACGCTCTGAATTCAAAATGGAGAGAAAGCCCACAGTGGTGTCGCTCTGATAGCAATCCCTAAGTGATACAAAGCCCATCCCCTCTAGCACCTCCAGTACCTTCAACCAGGGATGCTGATGTCACCTGAGAAGCCACTGGCAGGGAAACTCACAGTGATCAAGGAGCCCCAGGGATCACCAGCCCCTCCTGTGCCTCCCAATCTGTATCCTACCCAAGTCCCCCAACACTGTGCCGACCTATGAGTCACTGCCACCAGTGAGTCGCTACCAGCACACTTTTTCTGGGTATACCGACTTTACTTTCTAGTGATAATGATCGATGGCTGATACAGAGCACAGTTCCCGACAGTGTTTCTGGAGTGAAGACAAGATGCAAAGGGCTCTGTCTAGACCAGCCTCTGTCTAGAGGACCTTTGGGCCAGGCCCTGATGTGGTGGCCCAGCACCAGAGTGGCTGACTGCCCTGGAAGAGAAGGAGGGAGGGGATGCACCCAATTTTAGGTTCTCTCTCTGATGAGCCAGGCTAGCCCCACAACCTTGGACAAAGTCAGGCTCCTGGGTCTCATGTTTCTTGTCACCGGGCAAAGGCAGCCGATATGGGAAGGGCCTTGCTTGCTGCACAGCTCAGGCCAGCAACTCCCCAAGTGTCCCCGGGCATCCATGAGGTCCACTCTCAGATCACTGCCAGCCACAACCCCATGCTGTGTGTTGGGAAAGCACAGGCTGGTAGTCCTGACTCTTGGGATTTGTCTGCAAGTAAACGCCGTCCATCTGACCCCTCTGCCAGCCATACAGGCAGAATCATGCACACCCTGCAACCCCAAGTACTTCACCTGAGGGCCCTGACGTCTCTCCTAGGCATCTGACGCTCACTGGGAGCAGGTGGCTCGCAGACATGCCATCAGAAAGGCGTAAACACACCCCACCTGTTCACTGTGATAAGGAACACCTAAGACAAGACATCCTGACAGAGGACTCAAAGGAAATGGAAACAGGTAAGAAGTATCCCCAGAGCTCCCCGAAGGACGAGAGGATATCAGGAATGACTTATTCAGCTAAGTGGCGTTTAGTGACTTGTTCACATTGTAGATGAGCCTGACAACAGAAATGGAAACCTGGTGGCATGAAGGACAAGTGAGCCGCCAGGGAACACAGGGAGCCAGGGCACCACAGGCCACTGGCCAGGGACAAGCTGCAGACCCCAGTACCTGGTTTCCCCTTTTGCGGGTTACCAAAGTGAAACATGCAATGAGGGCAAAAAATGGAGAACCACGCAAAGTAAACAAAAGGAGTAGCAGGTGCCCTCAGCATTTGGGTGAATCTCTCCAATCTGGAGACTGCCCCCCTTACGACCAGCCGAGCTTCCTCTTGTTATCTGAGTCATAAAACATGATTTTAGTCATTAGTCCTTTAAAGAGAATACATTTCCCTTCATTTCTGAAAAGTGTCCACTTAGTCAACCCTCAAGGATGCTTCCAAAAGCACTCATGTGCCCAGCAGACCAGACAACCTATCAGAAGATGAGAAGCGGCTCTGCATGGTGAACACCAAGCTGGAGTGACCCCAACCCAGCAGGCCAGGAGACTGGGACAGGGCCGGCGTTCAGAGGCACCTGACAGAGTTCTCGGACACATGGCCTCCACTCCCTGCTGCCACCCTGGGCGCAGGGCAGCAGCCCCTCCCAGTAGGAAGTGCCTGAGTGACTCTACCTCTCAACTCTGCAGTCAAGACACTCCCGTAAAAATCAAATGCTTCAATCTGAGGGACTCACCTACATCTCCATAATATGGAAACATGATTAAAACAGCACCTGGACAGTTCTTATTGTTCCCCTGGCTATTAGTACCTCTGAATACACTCAAATTTTGTTTGATATGTTTTAAGGAGGGTCAGGTTACAATTAAAGTTTGAAAAAGGAAACTGGGTCCTAAAGAACCCCAGGCCCTTATCCTTTCCCACACAGGGAGCTCAGAGGGCAGAGCAGACTTCAAACCCTCTCCCACTCCCCAGACACAGCCCTGATAGGCTCGCCAAAGCTCTGGAGGGCAGCGGTCCTCCTTTGGCCAAGACCCTGAGTTTTGGGGAGGCCACTCACCTGGGTTCACGCCCCCCTCTGCTCATTCATGATGACAAGAACTGAGGACAAGCCTGAGCAGAGGAAACCGTGGGGCACAGGTGATGGAGGGGTAGGCCAGCCTCTCTAGGCCCCCCAGCATCCTCCTGGGCGGGCCCCTGGGTAGTACCCCACCAGGCACGAAGCCCCCAGGCTCCAGATGTCCTTGATGCACAGTGGTGGCCTCTGATGGGCAGGAATGAAGTTGAGGCTGTGTGATGAGGGAGGGCCCCACAGCAGGATCAGGTGTCCTAGGCCTAACTGGACTAGGGCAGGACCCACACCTGGTGTCCCCAGACAGGAGCACTATTGGCAGACAACCCGACCACGATTAATTTGCTCTAATGGAAGAGCCAGTGTCTGTCAGTCAGATGTTTTTAATCACAGTTATGACCCAGAGGTCATGGGATTAACCCCAAGTCATC